ATTGAATTAAATCTTAAACCTAAATAATATAAAATGGACAAAAAATTTAGTGAAGAATATTTCATACATAATGGCTGCCATTTTGGTCATTTATTTCACAGTTGAAATGTTGAAAAAAGGGTTTAAAATATTTAATGAACTTTTTTTTCTTGACGAACATCATAACTAACCATTTCAAATAGCTGAGATAAATTTGCCCCATTTGTTTGAATAGAAATTAATAATTAGACTGTACCATTGTATACAGTGTTGGTTCTCTATAAAATGACATCATATGCTTGGTTAAGTCAAACCAATGAAGGTTTTGGGTTCTAATCTCAGTCAGTGTTTGAAAGAATGTTGACTTTAAATAAGTCTTCTTCACTCACAGCTGTAAATGGGTATGGACAATTGAGGACAGATCAATGTCAAGAGGTTTGGCCAAGGATCAGCTGGTAGAAAGGATCCTTAACTGTGAACCTAAGTTGTTATACTTGTAAAATGTAGTTGTTTGTGTCTATCTTTTGTAGTTCATGGTTGATAGTTCACAGGGTATGCTTACTCTTTAGACACCTGATACCACTTTTCATTATGAAATACTTACTCACTTATGATTATATACTTCATCAAACTGCTACTAATGTTTCGCCAACATGGGGTTTGGATTTCGGGTTTTGTTTTGCTGTTGTAATCTTCTCATTATAATTTGAATATTATTTTGTATTTAATTGTTTTTTTTCCAGAAATATATGGTACCATTGAAAACCCAGAGTAGTTTAGATGAAATAGTTGTTGATAATATATTCTATATGATACCAGAAATTTTAATACATCATTCAATATTCCTTGACTTCTTGGACAACGTGTGGAAATATTGGGATTCACAAACCAGTACAGTGGGCAATATTATTATCAGTATTGTAAGTATCTTCTATTCTACTTTATCTTATATGTCTTTATTAGCCCGTAAAGTGTAGAAAAGTAGGACTTAAAACTCTATTTCATTTTTTTCATTTTTTTAGTTTATCTTATATTGCTGGATTAAACTTTTCCCTATATCTTGCCTTTTGTATATAGTCATTTCATCGATCTCAAAACCTTATATATGGAACATATAGCTCACAAGGACAGAAGAAGTTTGCAGGGATCCAGTTATGGGTGATTAAGGTTTTACCTTACTACTTACAAAATATGAGAGCAAGTAGATTTTCAAAGCCTACAGCATCTGAAAGAATTCAAAGCTGGATTAAGTAAACTTGTTCTCTTTGAAAATTGCTGGAAAAATTCAATTTGGTCATTGATCTCAGCCTTCAAAATCTGCATCCATGCAATTAATCGCAGTTATGCAATCTGTTAATTCCTTGATATATGTATTAGGGTCATATTGACTGACTGATCCAATGAGATTGTGTGAATATCCAGTCACCTTGAACTCTAGTTAAAATACAGCAAAAAATGCAATGACATCAAATTTAATAAGATGAATTTACTAAATATCACAAATAATCATTGGGTTCATGGAATAAAGTGATGATTATCCAAGAACTGGTCAGGGAATACTTTGCTGTTTGTTTTAGACTTCTAATTCAACTATGCCATTCAACTATGATTTATTATATTGCTTTTTGTCATTAAAGTCCTGAAGATAAATACATGTACTGCCATTCTCTCTAATCATGTCAAGTTTCACTGAAAATTGGAAAGTTAACATGACTCTAAAGAGGTTTTCAAAAATTTGTTATATGTATCGGTGACACTGAAAGCATCAATTTTCACTATTCCAATTTTCATTAAGACGTCTGTAGTTCCTTCACCTCCTCTTAAACTAAGACTTTGAAGACATCATTAATTGTGAAGGGCCTTATACGATAAAGTATATTTGCGATTAGTGATGTCATCAAACACTTAGTTTAAGAGAAAGTGCAGGAACCACAGATGTCTGATGAATGCTATCAGTGTCCCCGATACACATAAAAAATTTAGAAAATCTCTTTAAATTAGCAGTAAATCCTTTACACAATTTGATTTTCTAGAACTACCTGTTTTTTGTAATTTTGACAAATGTCTACTCACCAAACTCAGTGATCCAAAGATAATAAATAATAGAAAAACATGTTAAGTGTAATTTGTAAAGTTAATGAGGTGTAATTTAACTACCTGTAAGTTAAATATAGGTATATTTGCTATGTTTAAAGGTATCGTCCAATGTGAAATTGTTTTTTATCCTTCTGTATTGATTAAATTCAACAAAAACAAATTTATAAGATGTACAACTCCATATTAATGAATGTATTTATTTTCATTCATTTCATTTCATTCATTTCATTCATTTCATTCATTTCATTCATTTCAATCAATCATTTCATTTAATCATTCATTTCATTTAATCGTTCATTTCATTCAATCATTCATTTTCAATTAATCATTCGCTCATACATTTATCTTTTAATTTAAAAAAAAAAAGCAAGTATTTGAAAAAAAACTTCTGACTTAATTGCCTGATGCATCAAAGTTCTGTTATCAGAAATGCACAGAAAATATTTGATAAATGACTTGTTCTTGTAGTGCCAGTGAAATGAAATCTGTATGATTTATTTTTCAGTTTTCAAAACAGACAGTATTAGAGAGTTATTTATCATTTGTAGAGAATTATAAAACATCGGGTAAAGCATTTGAACATGCTCTTCAAACCAAATCTTCTGTACAGAAATTTGTAGAGGTAAGAACATTTTTGACTTTATTTTTATTTTGTTAGTACTTTTCTATTTGTCATGTTTGTTGTATATGTTAAGAATCTATGAAGGGTGTGGTGTCAGGTATGGTAGGTTTACTCTTTTAGACATCACTTTTCATTGTGAAATACTTACTCACTTATGATTATGATTGATATACTTTCTGATGTGAAAAGGTTTGGGTTTCATTCGGACCTTCAGTTTCAAACTTGGTTGATTTATTCCATGCAAAAACTGGGCATACTTGCGTATAAGTTACTATGTCTGAATCCATGGGTGTTTAAAGGGACAGGTGCACCATTTTGGGGGGGTGATTTTAGTCTTTAGAAGTACTAGAAATGTACGAAAATTGCATAATTCCTGTCAAAATACTTCAAACTAGGAATTTTAGTCACTATTTCCATATATATCTTTTCTATATATCACACAGTATCTTAAAATGACAAGTCATCATTTTAACATTCAAACACAGATAATTCTGGATACACATGCATTTGAAGTCTCAATCTAATTACTTGTATTGTATTTTTCTGTGGTTTGTTTCATGTAACATTTAATGTAATGTCTTCTGACATTTGAAACAATAATCAAAACAAAATGAATTCAGTATTCAATATGTGTGTAAATCTTGTGTCACGTTTTTCTTACTGGCTGTCCACATGTATAAAATTTTATTTTTTCCTGGTTTAGAAAAACAACTGGTTGAAAAACTGATGCAAACACAGCTTTCAGTCAGGCTGATTCATCAAGATTAAATTGACCAAATATACTGGTCTATTCCTTATCGTTCAAAGTACCTTTGTATTATTTTGGAAAGTTTTTCTCGTTGATTGGAGTAAAAAAGCAAGGCACCTTTACAACAGACTTTTTTATCGTTGTATTATAAAAAATATTTGGTTTAAAGTACTATTATAGATTTGTGTATGCTAGAAATGTATATATGAGGGATGAACATAACATACCGGTAGTTTTCATCACTATGATAATGATAATAAACTCTTTACTTTACATGGGTCAGAATTCGACCCAATACACAAGATCATGGCTCTGTCTAACATTCAGTCCATGGGGACAATATAATGAATGAATGAAAAAAAAATGGAAAAAATTAAGTGGTTTCCTGACGTGCCAAATTTCAAATATAGTTATGGTAGCGGCCTTTTATTCGAACTTCTGCTAGATATTTTGACTGTTATGAGTAGAGTCAGAAAAACTAGGCCCTGTTTATGGGCACTTTACACCTGCGAAGATGCCTTTTTTCTAGTATAATATTAAGTTACTTTTACAATGACTGTAAATTAATGTTGGGTATGACTGAACTACAAAAATATCCATCATTCCCAATATATTTATGTTTGGCGTGTTCGATCTCAATAAATAGGTCTAAAACCCCTGCAACTCTGAAATGGTGAAAAATTCCCATAAAAAAGGCCTGGTATTTCTGTCTCTACACCAGCCAACAGATTTCAAAATTGCTATTAGAGGCTGAAAATAGAGGCAGATGTTTCAGTTTAAAGAAGAAGGAGTGAATCTGGAGAATTACATAAAAGTCATAAGCATATAACTTTCAGTTTCATATTTAACACTACATTTAGAAAGTAGGGAAATATTTCCCTATATAGCTTTTGGATCATTAATTGCATTTGATGAAGTTAAAAATAACAAAATTTCACTAACAAAAAGGTATCCATCTTGAAAATATTGTAATGGACTGATCTTTATTTGCAGGAAATCTAACAATATCCCACCTAGAGATAAGATTATGTCAAAATGTGTAACTGATTATTATATATTTATATATTCTCTCTGTTTATACACATGTATAACACAAAAAATGTGCAAAAGATATAGATTGACTAGAATAGACGGCCTTGACTTTCTAATAACTTCTTATAAAAATATTTCTTAGACTCTTTAATTACCAGGATTCTTTTCTTCAAAAAATGCCAGAGTTGTGTATTTACAACTTGAATTAAAAACAAATAAAAGTTTTGATAATAAATCTTCTATGGGTGGTATTTTTATCGAGACACTGGATAGATACTATTCGCATTAGCTAGGGCTTCATAAATCCACTGTAAGCGTACAAGCAAATCGGTTTTGAAGTTTTATCAAACTGTCAAAGATTCTAAGGTCGTTTTTATGGAGGGTAAAATCAAACGTAGTCATTATTTTAAGTTTATTTTATGGATTTGTTAATATTTTTTTCGATTGCTGGTAAAGTAAGAAGTAAATTTGAATTTTCTCCTTAATTGTAGAAATGAAATCAGATGAGGTTAAGCAACATCATGTAGTGTCCTATGTTTGAAGCCATGCAATATCCGATGTTTGAAGCCATGCAGGGTCCTATGTTTGAAGCCATGCAGGGTCCTATGTTTGAAGCCATGCAGTATCCTATGTTTGAAGCCATGCAATGTCCTATGTTTGAAGCCATACAGTGTCCTATGTTTGAAGCCCTGCAATGTCCTATGTTTGAAGCCATGCAATGTCCTATGTTTGAAGCCATGCAGTGTCTTATGTTTGAAGCCATACAGTGTCCTATGTTTGAAGCCATGCAATGTCCTATGATTCAAGCCATGCAGTGTCCTGTGTTTGAAGCCATGCAATGTCCTATGTTTAATGCCATGCAGTGTCCTATGCTTGAAGCCATGCAATGTCCTATGTTTGAAGCCATGCAATGTCCTATGCTTGAAGCCATGCAATGTCCTATGTTTTAAGCCATGCAATGTCCTATGTTTAATGCCATGCAATGTCATATGCTTGAAGCCATGCAATGTCCTATGTTTGAAGCCATGCAATGTCCTATGTTTAATGCCATGCAGTGTCCTATGTTTGAAGCCATGCAATGTCCTATGTTTCAAGCCATGCAATGTCCTATGCTTGAAGCCATGCAATGTCCTATGTTTGAAGCTATGTCAGCATCTTAATCACCCACAGCCTTAAACTCATGGGTCTAATGCCAAAGCCTACTTGTATTTCCAAGTCATCCCTTCTAACCTGCACTACTGACTGGGTAAAAAAATCTTAACCTTTTCCAGGATCAAATCCTAGATCCCTAGGTTAGCATGCAAGCAAAGATTATACGTAACTTGCCAATACTTGTTTTATGAAATAACCCATATCAGATTTGGTCTTGTCATATGGCCGAGTTTTTATTGGTAAAATTTACAATAGAATTTGCTTAAAACAAATAGATAAGATATTTGCTTAAAATATTTGGAATTAACCCTTTCAACCCTAGCGGCCGGTTTACCGGCCAAACACATTTGCAATATATACCCGAGCAGCCGGTATACCGGCCGTTGCTAAGTGACATCATACAACATTAACGTCATACGCTTTTACTTTTATTACTTGGAGTTCAGGGTATATGACGTTGTATTTCAGTTACACTCAGGGTTCAAAGGGTTAACTCTGCCAAAACATTAGTTCTTTTGTGTGCTAAAAGCAACATATGTATATAAGAATTGCTTACATCATTATCTGTAATGACTTGTATATATAAATTAACCTGCAATTTCTAAACATTACAAAAAGATGATATAGAAATTAGAAATATATATATTGTGAAGTTTGCTGAGTACCACTGCACTGACAACTTAAATGACTATAACTGTGACCTCTGAATCATTTCTGACATTAAAGTTAGATATAACTTTTAACTTTAAATACTCTGGACAGCTTGATTTAGTTTTAAATGCATGTATACTATTTACTACAAGTTTCTGTTTCAGAGTAAATGAGTCTTATTCAAAAGTGACATGTATGCTCATGCTTTAGGATAAATAGTCCGTTGATTCTGGTCTAACATGTTGGACCAGCTTAGAAGACAACAGTTTAACTTTCTGTAATCTTTTCTTCTGTGTCTAATATTAGGCTCAGGTCAACCTTGTGACTGGTCAGAATGTGGAAGTTATTGCATTGTCAATGCCTTCTAGTAATTGGCAGCTTCTGAGAGAATGTAATCAATTGCTTGAAAACTAATCAAATTGAGCACCTATTTATAGCAATTTCTGGATAATAATTAGTATTTTGATCACAGCGAGTACAAAGGATCTGATGAGCTGCTTTTTATTTCCCATTAACCCTTAAAAGTTTTTTAACAAAAAATTTATTTATAGTCCAATGAGTTGAATGAATAATTCAGTCAGCTCTTCAGTTTACATCTTATTATACATCTTCTAAGCTTACACATTCTCTTAAAGACACTCCTGATAAATCTATAGAATCAGTTGATGTTGACATGAAATTCTATATACTTGTGTTGTAAACCTCTTTCATTGCACCCGAATTCCAACTTGTTTATAATAATCTATTTTCGATGTTAATGACTTGCCAAAAATAGCTCACAGACACATCCAAAATAACAGTTTTTTTTACTAGGATAGGTTAAGTAATTTGTATAGGCAATTTTTTTTTACTCGTTCGATGTCTACTTAAGCTGATTTGAAGACGTTGTACATGTTTCTAAGATAATTTAAATTAGAGGTAATAAATAGGATAAATCAAGTACAGTATCAGCACTCTTTTCACCTTTACCACTTGACAGACAAATGAACTTTCATCATAAAAAGGTGTTATTAAGTATATTTGCGGGATATATTGAGGTGGGTGGTTATTATTTATGATCATTGTCGATTCACGATTTTCATTTTTGGAGGAAGTGCAACAGATGTCTCTTGTGTTGCTGACTATGGTGGCATTTGTAGGCGAAATTGGTATCATTTTTAGTCAAGAGTACATGTGGTGTTCTTTAAGAAGTTGTATCACAAAATAATGCACTAGTGTACCCATTATTGTATTAGGTGGTAATGGTGGTGTTGAATTGGTAATAAATGCTTCATTATTGGGAATGACTATTATTCTAAAGTTTTTGTCAAGTATTGAAATCCAAGGCAATCTTTGACACATTGGTTCTGCTGTTTTTGAATTGGTCCTACAATTACGATCAATTTGCTATCAAAGTATCAAACAATTTACATTGCTTCGTAGCCCCCACATTTCATATTTCTTCACCTCTCAACCCACACCCCTGGAGCAATCACGTGGACCTTTCACACCCCCAACAATTTGTCTCTTCCATATTTCCAGCATGTGATGATGCGAGGTGCTCTCTCAATTCAAAATAGATTCTTCTGCGACACTCGTTAGCCACCCCCCCTGACTTCCTAGTTCCACTCCCGAGGATGGGAACTGGGGATGTAGACAGTCCTGTTAATGCTGATTATAGCTGCTAATAGACCATGTACAATGTCCAGTGCAGCATACAGTGGGGAATTCTGATACAGTAGGAATAAGAATAAGTCAATCGTGTCCATATCATGTCTACATCATGTCCAAACCTGTACCTGTTTCACTACCTCCATTTTCTACTGTACCCATTATCATGCACCCTACAATGTACCTGAAACTAGACCATTTCTATTTGCAGCTTAAGAATCCCATTAAAGTGTGCTTTACAGAATAACTAGTTTAGTGAATGTGCCCTTCCCATATATTCTAAATGATATATATATATATATAGTTTACGATGTATTTTACACTTTTCCAGAATTAAGTTAATCTATTTTGGAAAGAAAATTAACACCAAAGTGCAAGAATCGTACTAAAGTTTAGTTCATGTAAAGTACTAAGAGTATACAAGGTTATAGCATTATGTTCCAAGTTTTTGTAGTAGACATTACATTGAGTGCACTGAACATTTCTCTGTATATTTAGCTTGAGAAAAATAGAATTTTTACAAGTTATGATACATTTATGTAACTAACTCACTTTTTCAACCAATCAGCAATGGCTAAATTTTCAATCAAATGCCTCACTTAATTGTTAAGAAACTCACAATTAGGGTTAAGTAAAATGATCGAAATAATCGATTATTGTTGCTTGGGATTTATAATTTTGATAATCATGATTATTAAATTTCGTAATTGATTATATGTCAAAGTTACATTTTCTCCATTGTACTCGTTAACATGGTTTCCCTTCAGCACATAACTTACCCACAATAAACTATAATAACTAATCAAGACAAGAATATACTTCTATGACACAAAAATTACCCATGAAATTAAGGAATTTGGCATGTTTTAAATTCAGTATTTACAGGGTTTGTCAATTGAATTATTTCGATTATTTATCGATTATTGATCGGTAGTCTGCCATCGATAATTGATCACAATTTGGTAATCGATACCCAGCCCTACTCACAATCAGGTATCATTTTGATTGACAGCTATAGTGTAGTAATTTCACTGCTTTGCTCTCTCCCACTATAATTTTAAATAAAACACTAAGATATATGGATATACTACTTCTACATTTATTACATACTACGTTTTGGAACACATACATATAATTTTACTAAATAACTTTATCAAGATATCAAAAAAAAAAGTATTACTGATTTGATCAATATTCCAGAAAGGCAAACATGATCTATCCTTCAGAAATTATGAAATACAAACAATAGAGATCAAGTGGTATCAGGTGTTTCTGAAGAATGAGCATGCCCTATCCTACGAACTAAAACTATGTGAATGTCTTATGAACTTTATGGAAACTTTGAGTTCTGAATTTCTTATTGCCCTTGATTGCCAAATGCTGAAAGTATGGTGAGGTCTTGAACTTTCTATTGAGATGTCGAGGAATTGCAATGTGCATTTATGTATGTCATTTTTAAAAGGATGTCATGTAAGAATAAGTTAAGTTTCAAATTTTGGTGCTTCGAAAATGATAAAAGTTTTTTTTAGCCACAATTAGTGGCTACTGAAACCACTAGTCAATAATTAGATTTATCCAAATAGCTGCATATGAGGAAGCAGTGAATTATAAACATACAAACATTTTTTCTTATGAGAAAGGTTACTCATACACATATACTGTTCCGGAGTTTCTTACATGTGCTCAAGTGTTACAAAACAAACAGTAAAAGGTAGAAATGTGTTGATTGACAAGACATCATGAAAATGTCTTACCTCAGTCCATTGATGCTAGGTTTTCTTGCTGTAGAGAAAGAAAGTAGAAGTTTTTAGAATGTGTTCAAGAGACTATAGCCGCGTTAACACTGCCATACAAATTGGCCTACTTGAAGTGAACCTTACTCGGGCTGGACTCGGCTAGGCTGGCCGGAAGCGTTTACACTGCACTGTTTTCACTGGGCCAGAATGGTGATTCATCAATCATACACCTGCTCTCCAGTCAGTGGAGGTGAAAAAACGAGGACATTTAAAATGCCATCAACCATAAACAAGACTTATGATTTTGAAAGCGTGATTAATTTTGTCACATTCACAGTGTAAACGATTCTTAAAAAATCTATAAGTTTGTTTTTGCCACTCATTGCAAACATGCTGAATTCTAGTACAACAATACATGTCATAGGGTCAAGGTCATAATTGTACATGCGCACTTCTCAGTGGGTGAGTGGGTGAGGCCTAGTGGTGCTTTTACACTGCACTGATATTTTGCTGTGCCATACTCGGTCCAGATCGAAACCACCTTTCGGGACTCAGCCCACTTCAAACCAGCATGGTGCTGAGCCCTCTAAACCTGTTTACACTGCCACTTTTTCTGCCAAACTGTACACGGTCCAAACTCAGCCCAGTAATTTGTGGCTGTCTAAACGCGGCTTATGGCAACTTGTCTACTTTATGGTATTGAGTGATGAACTCGCTTGATTAGGATGAATTCACAATTTTCTCAAGATATTTACTATCCAGTAATGGTGAAGACACTTGTAAGATCATTTTAGCAATTTTTATAATTGCATAGATACTTGTACATTAATAGTTAATTTTATAGTAGGCTTATAAGGTTATTACGAATCTAATCCTTTGTAACTTTTATAGATATCATTTTTCTGAAATTTCTGTACATGATACAGTTAGATTGTCAATTGATTTCGGTACGATTTTTCTATTTTAGAATTGTCAGAAAGAAAGTGGAATTAAGTTATCTATGAAAGACTTAATTGTTCGTCCTATACAGCGTATACCAAGATATGAGTTATTATTACAAGTAAGTGTCTATTATTATATAACTCGTGTTTATTCTACTGGATTATCATTTTACCTCTAATTTTATTTGGCATTTTGCTGATAATGCATATTGAAAACTGATATGTTGTTATGGAATTCTGGAATTTTGATTGCCGGTGTGTATGAAATGTTTATATGTAGCCTGTTCGATTCGGAATCCTCTTAATGATGTTTCAATTTTGTCATGGATTAAGAAAAGAATGCCTGTTTATGAGGAGAATAGCAACTTATTAAGCTACGTGTTGTAATAGATGCAATGCCAAATTCAAGGTCATATGAATGAATCGTGAAAATATGGTTTTAAACAAACACTGGAATTAAGAATTGCTGAAGAAAGAGATTTAAGAAATGGAAAGGAGTTTGAAAAACCTTGTTCTGGCTCATGTATACTAATTTAGATTGCTTGTAAAATTTAGGCATGATGTTCATTTCAATATCATTTCTGCTATTGATTCCAATTGTATTCATCCATTCCTGCTTTCTGTCATTCTTTCTGTCATTCTGTGTTGTAGAGATTAATCAGCAGTACACCAATAGACCATCCAGATTATCCACTGTTAGAGAAAGCTGAGAAGAAGATACACGAATTAGCTGTAAAAATTGGTTCAGTTAATGATAGTCAACAAGAAGATATGCAAGAAACTTTGAAAAAACTTGAATTGCTTCTGATTACTGATGTAAGTCTGCTTTAATTTTTTGATATTAGGAATGTTCATTTACTAGTAGTAATGTTCATTTACTAGTAGTAATGTTCATTTACTAGTAGTAATGTTCATAATTGGTCTTCCTATTCTGGGAAAGGAATTAAAGATTTGTACTCTTAAATGTTAATCATCTGAGGTTGGCTCTTGATGCATGTTCTCTATCCAAAACTGTATTGAGGCTACACAATTTCATTGATCATAGTAGTTTGTACATGAATTTTCCGTGTTCAGAACAGGATAGATGTTCATTGATTATTGTAGTCACTACACAATGTTCATTGATCATTGTATTTGCTACCTAAATGTTCATTGATCATTGTAGTCGCTACACAAATGTTCATTAATCATTGTAGTCGCTACATAAATGTTCATATATCATTGTAGTCGCTACATGAATGTTCATTTATCATTGTAGTCACTACACAATGTTCATTGATCATAGTAGTTTCTACATGAATTTTCCGTGTTCAGAACAGGATAGATGTTCATTGATTATTGTAGTCACTACACAATGTTCATTGATCATTGTATTTGCTACCTAAATGTTCATTTATCATTGTAGTCACTACACAATGTTCATTTATCATTGTAGTCGCTACACAATGTTCATTGATCATTGTATTTGCTACCTAAATGTTCATTGATCATTGTATTTGCTACCTTAATGTTCATTTATCATTGTAGTCGCTACATTGATGTCTGTTGATCATTGTAGTCGCTACACAATGTTCATTGATCATTGTAGACACTACATAAATGGCCGTTGATCATTGTAGTCACTACACAATGTTCATTGATCATTGTAGTTGCTATATAATGTTCTTTGATATTGGTATATGTAGTTGTTTCATATAGGTTTATGATCTGAGTGCTCCATGTATGTTCTCTGTCCTAAACAGATTGGTTTGATGCTACATGCATTGGATGGTACTAAATATCAATGTTCACTGTCAGGATTGGTGCTTCTGCTAAATTAATCAATCTATGATAAAGAAATTGGAATTTTAATGCACTTGTGACTATGGTAGAATGATATTCATGCATCATTAAGTTTATTCAGCTTTCAGTTCGTATTTAAAATCAAACTTTCATCTTGTGTAGTTTATAATATGTTATCATTGACAATAATTCTGAACTGGTCTATAAATAATGGCTATCATATTCTTATCTTTCCAGTTGGCAGTTCCTGATCGAGCCTACTTACGCCATGATATGGTACAAATTATTGTAAGTATCATCAAGATCTTGTATTTTTTGCTAGTAAGAAAATTTTAGCCTGACAGTACACTTAAAGCAAATAATTAGTTTGTGCAATTGGAATTGAGTGTCCTTGATGCACTTAAAATGGCTGTATCTATATTTTCAATTCAGCAGCAATTAGAATTGCTACAGTATAGTATGTATCCACTAGCCTTAGTATTAGTCTCTCAAAATTTTGTCGGTCGCTTAGTGAGTTAGACGCTTGCTCGTTAATCTGATGGTCCAGGTTTCAATCCCAGCATTGGTCGAGATAATACCTTCAAATTTTTCAACCCAGTTTCCCCCTGTCAGTGATGCAGGTAAGAGGGCTGACATGGAAAAAGCGTGTAGTCGTTCGGGTGGGACAATAAACCGAGGCCCTGTGTGCTACAGGCTCTACACATTAGAGATCCCTCAACAGTTGGAAATTGAAAAAAGAGCAGGCTAATGCCGCTGTCCTGACAAAATTTCCCTCGTTGCACCCAGCACGGCGTTGCCCATCTTCATTATCCCAAATGGTGCAGAAAAGTAGGACGTAGAAAGTATTGTCAGGGTCACTATGAGTTCAACACTTGCTTGCTAATGTGAAGGTTTGAAATAATACCTTCAGCAGAATTCAGCGGGACAATAAACTGAGGCCCCATTCACTACAGGTTATGCCAGTTAAAGATCCCTAGTAGTTAAAAACCGAATTAGAGAAGGCTAAGGCCCCTGTTCTGGCAAAATCATTGCACACTTTATTCATTAGTCATCATTAGCCCAACAAGGTGCAGAGAAGCTCATTTCAAAAGTATATTCTAATAATAGGTATGAAAAAGGTCATCTTCTTTCTGAGAGTTTCTGCAGAAAACGCCCACAGAGAATTTAACCATCTTAATCTATATGCTAATCAGATTGATCTTGTAAAATTCAATTAGTCAGGTTAAAAGAACTGATAGAAAGTATAGTTGGTAACAATCTGTTCTTTTCAGGCAATCTGTAGTTTCTTCACCTTCAGTTGAAGAAGTTTGGTTGTGAAGGAATCTAAGCTATAGATAACAGAATAACTACGTGCCATTTGTAACATATTCCCTTCTATTATCACTTGATTTTTAGTATCAACTTGTAGGAGGCAACTAATATGACTCTATCTAAAGCTACATCTCTTAACTTTTTACTTCAATAGTTTGATTGCTTCAGTCAATCACATTTAAATTTGGCACTAATTTACTTTACACTATCTCACTATTTCTTTTTTTGTTCCTTTTTCATTCAAATTCATTCTGTAGTTAAGATTAAAGCTGTCATTCCAGATAGATCTGATGTTGCTTATTTTTTTATTATGTAAGGTTATAAGCTTACACGACATCATTTGCTTGGTTGCGTCGAACAGATGGTGGCTGACGGTTCCATTCTCGATCGACTTGTGAAAGACCAATGACTTTAGATAAGTCATCTTCACTCATAAATCCTGTTGCCCCGGCTGTAAATGGGGACGGATAATCCGGGAAAGACCAGTTTCGAAAACTTAATGAAGAAAAAATCCAGATTTTAGGAAATATAGTAATCTTGTTGGATAATTAAACTGAATTTAAAACAGATTTTAGTGATTGACATGTGACTGGAAACCTAGAATATCATCTTATGTTAAGTTTGCAAGAATAAGGCCAAGGATCAGCTGGTAGAAAGGAACTGTAAACCTAAAATATAGTTGTTTGTTTCTTTCTTATCTTTTAGGTTTGTCATAAGAAAGCCTGTGACTTATTACAAAGCTAATGTGTAGGTGTATGCTTAATTTTTTATCAACATGCTATCTTAATTTTTTGCCTTGTTTTTCAGAATAAGAAGGACCAATGTTGTATTTGGTTATTTTCTGACCTCATTACTGTCAGTAGTATTAAACGTAAAAGTGGTCCAGCTCCCAGAAAAGTTTCCATTATATTGTAAGTATCATTTGAACCTTATTGGTTATTGTTTATTAGTAGTACCTAGATGGGTGTACTAGTAAAATTTTTAATCCTTTGGACCCTGTTGTCTTTTCCAACATTGTGCCTCGAATATTAGTACAATTACTGTGATTGCCTTAACACTCTCAAGGGCACAGGGGATGTCGTTGACATATCCAATGATACCTTTAATGGCACTGGAGATGTCCATTCTTTAGGATCCTCTAATAAACAATGCAAGTTTCGTTTTGGGGTTTGGATCATTAATACTTATTTATTCATGCAATATTCTTGCAATTCCACTAAAATTTGAGAATTCAAAAGCAATGGCAGACGTCTGATTGTAAAATTGGAATTATGCAAATTGTTTCTATCAGTGTCTCGAACCAACATATAAAGATTAGAAAAACTCTTTATAATCCCTTTAAAACCATGTTATTCACTGGCACGTATGAAAATGAAAATATGATTAGTCAATGAAATAAGTTAGATGTAAACAAACAATATAACATTATAAAAAACTGATATAGCAGTAACGGTAAAACATAAAGAACCAGTATATTGGTGTAACAGGCTTAAATGATAATAGTCGATTAGGTTATATATGTAATTTTAAACACAGCATGTAATAATCAGTGTACAAACCAGTCATAGAGATGAATAATAATGATCTAATAGATATACTCATACACATCTGGTTACTGTACATAGTAATACAACATGTTATACATGATATATATTACAATACCTCTTGCTGTATACGTGTAGATTGGCATTGCAGCATTATTTCAACTCAAATTTTATGCATATTTGTCAGAAGCTAATAACAGGAACTTTTAAGAATGAATTCTTATTGAGAAAAAAAAATAGAACAATCTGAAAAAAAATCCCACATTTTTGACCAATGTCTTCCGATCATCGATAGACTTTCGATTGTTTCCAAAAGAAAAAAATCGTAATATATTTAAGACATTAGGAATGGTCTTAGTAAACGGTTTCCCAAACAAGATCCCTTTCCCTTGTAGCTTATCAGCGCATATGGATATAGCTGTTTGTTATGCAAATGAAAGTATTTATAGTTCAAGCATAAGTCAGATCCAGCTAGTCTTCTCGATTCTATTGATGGTTTCTCAAAGCATCATCATTTTCCATTGGGAGTACATCACAAAAAAAGGCAAAATTCAAGGTTGTTCCTTAAATTGTGTTAAATTTTGCAAGTGAATTATTTAGTATATTGTTGTGAATTTTAAGAAAACTTTTTAGTTAGACCAGCAATTATATTTTGTTGTATATTTATGTAGGAAAACACCAGCAGGACAAGATTTTGCTGAAAATGTCAAACATAAGGTTTGGTTACGTGTTGGATTGGACGATATAGAAATTGTTAAAAATGGTAAGATTTCTTTTGTCTTTTATTTAATAAAAAAAGAGAAGCCCTGCTAAAATCCTAAATTTTTCTTAATTCGATCCCTAAAAAGAGAAGTTTAAGAAAAAAGTGCAGTCAAGAATTATAAGAAGTATTCCTTAATTGACATTTCCGCAGTATATCTTTCAATATTTAATTTTAGTTGCTGAAAATTTTCCTCGTAAACCAACAATAGAACGTGATGTTATAGAAGAAGATATGAATATTATGAATCAATTATCAGATCTAGCTACTAGACTATCTGTTCAACACTTGGTAAGTAAAAATTCTATGTGCATAGTTTACACATTTATTTTCATTAACTGTTTTTGAAATAATAACTGTGTTTCTAGGAAGAATTGTGAAGTAAAGCTAACTCTAAGCTACCCTACAGCCAGCTTAATTGCAGAATGCGCTGTGTTTACACTGAGCTTAAAGATGGGTTTTCTTATTTTTTAGTGTCAAATTAAGCAAACTATTTGATTAATTGGTGTTTCTAATGAATTATCATGTATTCTTAATCCAATCATTATGTTCTTATTGCATGTAATTAAGCATTTTAACCAATGTACAGTCTGGATAAACAAAAAAATACTTTTTAACTTTTCTTGATCGGTCACTCATTGGAATTCTGCTGGTAATTATCTTCTAATTTAGCTAACTATAAATGAATTATGGTCATGTGAGACAAACTGGTATTTTTCCAAGTCATTAGAACACCTCTACTTTCTATTCATATAAGTATTAGCATTTTCATTTTCATAAATAAAAATAAGGAAACCTATCTTTAACAAGTTCTTGATGAACTGGCAATGTACCAGATTACCATTAAGACCAATGAGAAAATTTGTATGTCCCTTGAGTAAAGTAAAAGCTAGCTTTAAGCTTATTTCATTTGATCTTTGATAAAATTAATTGTTGAACACAAAAAGAGACATTTTAGATTCTCGAACCTTAACAGCACAGTGGATACACCAGAAAGCTAGGTTAAGGTGGAATTTATCCCTCAGTGGAAACACAGTTATTGTTCTTGACTTGGATTGTAACACAGACTTTATTTCCAGGGCTCTGATTGACTTGCATATAATCCTATCAAATTGTTGCATTTACAAACATCTATAATACAAGAGAAGTGCCTAATCATGTCAAGGTATTAGATAGAGATTGTAATACCTTGACATTTTGAAGATGATTCTAATGACACTGTTGGGGCAAAGTTGCAAAGAAGTAGGATGTAAAACTAACATCTTTCAGTTTCTTTGTTGTTTTGTTTTAAATGTGGAATAAACAAACTAGATACCTGTGTTTATATCAAATAAACTGAATAGAGATATTTATTTTGACATCTATTTAGAATCTTTATTGATATAAATACATCTATTTATATGATGACCTTCTTTATATTTATATTCTCTCAACTACAACCTGTTTATTACCTTGTTTTATTTTTGTCTTTCATCATGTACTTTAGTTTTATTTTATTATGGGGATATTGTACCTGGTAAAGATCACTGATTGAAATAGGCAGTGTTCCTTAATATTAGCCAAGCTTATAACAATTTTGTATAAAAGTATAGGAATAGTCTTCACATTTTCTTAAATAATTCAAAATTTTTGCTATGGACTCTCTTAAATTGTTGTCAAGTTGACAAACTGATGGAAATAGGCAGTGTTCCTTAACATTAGCCTAGCTTATAACAATTTTGAATAAAAACTTAGGACTAGTCTACACATTTGCTCATATAATTCTACATTTAAATTTTTGCTATGGACTTGAATTGATGTCAAGTTGACGAACTTATAAGCAGTGTGGCACCAAGTGTTCTGTGAAATTTTACCTTATAGGCTTGTATCAAAAGTAGTCATTATTTATGCTAACCAATCAAAACGTCTAGAGTATTTAAATCAGATTTGACCAACATAAGTATTAGTGATCTATGATTTGTTTAAACATGAGATTGTATTATTATTACAGAGTCTGGATGATGCTTTAAGAGAATTATCATCAACATTAAATAAACAGTTAACAGAATGTCAGTTACGTAGTCCACATACAGAATCTAATAAACTAGAATTATTAGTCACTACTCAGTAAGTATATTTTTTTATATGGTGATCTTGAATAGTTCTGGATATAATGCTCAGTTCACACCAACGGCGCTTTGATGGCGCTTTAAAGCAGCGTTCAAAGCGGTACCAAAGCGTAACAAAGCTCGACTAAAGCGCCAGGGTCGTAATAGATCGTTGGAAAGCTTTGAGCAAAGCTGAATATTCGGCAAGAGCGCCCAAATTTTTTAAACTGTTTAAAAATTTTGGGCGCTCTGTCACAAATTGATTAAATCGCCAAGAACATATCAAAGCTTAACAAAGCGTAACAAAGTTCAGCAAAGCTTGACTCAAAGTGTAGGAAAGCTTAACAGAGCTTTATTCAAAGCGGGGACCCCAGTCTTCACGGTCCATCACCACTTGATCAAGAGCAGCATGAAATCGGCCATTTCGAAATTTTCCAATGCTTAACAATGCACAACAGAGCTTGATAATCGTATCAGAGCGTGATTTAAAGCGTCATAACAGCATCAAAGCTTAATAAAGCTTATCAAAGCGTGATTTAAAGCGTAACAAGGCCTGATCAAATCGGGAAATAATTCGTAACCAATTCGTATCGGAGCGTAACATTACTTAGGAGATCGTGATATTTTTTGAAAAGTAAACAAAAAATGATGGCACTTTGCTCGCCAATTTAAAGCGCGGCATTCGCCGTTGGTGTGAACTAGGCATTACAAATCATGCAACGATAAGTACTGTGATACAAGTGCATATTGATTTTTAACTTTATAACTGATATTAGGCATAAAAATTTTCAATCAAGTCAGTGAAAAAAATTTGTGATTCCATTGATACACAACCTCGCAATATTGTGGCATGACGTATCACGATAGATCAATTCACTGATATATCATGCTAGAACAAGTCTCAAAAGGTTTTAATTTTCAAGTTATTGCCCTTGACTTAGCCCGAATATGCCTAGATTTATCTGTGAACCCCATTTTGAAAGGTGTTAGCATATGGGTATTGATAATTTGAGATAAGTAGGCCTAAGCCGTATTTAAAAAAAAATACAATGAAATTAGGTATTCTAAATGAGAATTTCTCCATTACTAGTTTTTTTCCAGTCAAATCTGATGGTTGTGGGCAATGAGGAAAATTTTTTCTTGGTAGAATAATTTGTTTTTAAATAGGCTTTGTTTATTTAGCAAACCTACAATATAAACATTGGGAATTGATTTAAGATTTAAGTTAGATCACAAGCTTTTCAAAAATTTCAACAAAAAAACCCCAAAAAACCTCAGGAATTTATCTTGACTCCAGAAGGCATTGATTGGTAAATGTCTGTAGTTCTCATGATAAAATGTTGATAACATGAGGCTATTTGTGTAATGTTTCTTCTATTCTAATATTGATATTAGCTGATATTATTTATTCTCAAACAATGTTTCTAGTATTTTAATTCTCTGTAATTTGATTCATTGATTGTATTATTTGAGAACATTTCTCTTGAGTTAGGAAAATATGTTAATTGTGGTCTGAGTCAATATTTTGTCTTTTACTGATTACTTTTCTTTCTTATTAAATGTTAAGGAATTTTTCACAATGACAAAGCATTGATGTCACAGTCAAATAGAATTAGACTAAACTTTAATTTTTATTAGCTTTTATTTCTATTATAGCAACTTCAGTTAGGGTCTAGAGATGTGCATCTTGATCAAATCGTCCCAATACCTTTTAACCTAACCTCATGACCGCTGCTTTAACCAATCAATTTCCTTCACTCTCTCACAAAATTCCAGCGCTGGAGAAGGCAGAAATTTGATTGGTTGAAGCAGGGGTAGGTCAAAATGTTATTGTGATGAATGTTCAAGAAGGACAGTAGTTAGACCCTAATTGAAGTGGCTATATTAGAAATAAAAGCTAATAAAAATGGAGCTAAAGTTTGGTCTAATTTTATAAGCCTGACTAATGTCATTGAAAGCTTTCTTAAAAATGTCTCCTTATTAGAAAGAAAGAAATTTTTCTACCCATAGAATTTGTGATGGAATTTAATGAAGTTTTGTTGAGTTATTGATTTGACATTTATTACCAAAAAAAGTCCAAATTGAACTGTATTTTGATTATTGATTACTATTGTAAACATATTTTACATTGCCTATCAAGTTACTATAGATATATTTTTATGAATACTTAGGTACCTTTCTGATATATTAGTTGTATGTTTTTGAATTTTGATTTTATTGTTTTCTAATGGTTTGGTAACACATGTTTTCATGTTATTTTACAGAGAGGGTATATTACATCTTGTTATTAGTTTTATATCTGGTGAAAAAAGGGCCTCCTGGGAAAATAGCTTCTATGAAGCCAAAAACAAATTGTGTAAGTAAAATAACTTTTGAGATACTGGATATATATCATTTAAAAATCTGAATTATAAAATCCCTGAAATACCACATAATAGTACCAAAATCAAACACATTAGTGAGTACAAAAATGGTGTCAAAAATATCTTGGACTCATACGAATGGATCAATTTATGACTAATTTTCTGTTAAACCATATGAAAACTTTCAGTGAATATGTCCTTAAAAATAAATTTGATTCTTCAACAGACAAGACTCTCAAATATAGTCACCTCTACAACCCTGTTATACAAAACACAAAAATTGTAAGATCTAATTAAACTTTTTCCCACTTTTCTAGCTCTGTTATCAGACAAGAGAGCACCTGAATTTTTACAGCCATTACAAATTACTAAAACCAGAGCTGGTATGCAGGTAAGTTTACTTTCGATTAGGTTGAAGAATTTTATTATAAAAAATCTCCAGCTAGATGACTCAGTGGGTTGGATACTTGCTTTTTAACCTTGGGTCCAGGCCCCCGTTTCACTAAGGTACGTAAGTATAAATATTTACGTAAGTATAAATGTAGGTAAAATTTGCGTTTCACTAAAAGACGTAAATTTTTACTTACGTAAATATGTCGCCTAAATCCTACGTCCAAAGCAGACGTAAGTACGTTCTGGCGACTGATCTAGTGTTACAAAAACGCCGACAATTAGTTTTTAATGGACAGGATGTATTTACAATTGATAAGAGTGAAAGGAGAGAGTTTCCAGAGATCATACCTCAGATCATAGACACATGTCGTATTTCACAAAATTGATGTCGGCCATGTGATTAACTAAAACGAAAGTGGCGTATCTTAACTTTCATTGGTTATTTATAAATAGAAATGCATTTGAAGCACAGGGGATGTGTCGAGTGTCTTTTATTTAATGATTTCAAAATTGCTTTTAGAGATTAGGACAATGCTAACTAAGAAAGTTTAACTTTAGAAGTGTTCAGTTCAATTTTTAATTAGGCCTATTTATCTTTCCATTTCCATCGGCTATGCTTCTTTTTTGGTTTTACTGATCACCCCAGAAGTGAACTTAGCGGGAATTGTATTAAAATGCCGATATTTCATGATTGAACCAGTTATTTTTTCTTGCGGATGATGCCCTTTTGACAAAAGTGACTTACGTCGTAATGTATTGATATTACGTCATGAATTTTCATACTTTCGCATGCTTTAGCGAAACGGACATAAGTAAATACTTACGTTATGCGTAAGTATAAAACTTACGTAACTTAGTGAAACGAGGGCCAAGCCACATATTCTCGAAACAATCTTAGCGCTAGGATGTCCTTGTTACTTATCTTCTAACATTGATTCGAGGATATCTTAGCATTAAGATTGTTTTGAGAATACGTGCTTGTTAACCTAGGGTCCCGGGTTATATCCAATCATTTAGAAGGAACAATAAACTGAAGTCTCACGTACTACAGGCTGTGTTAGTTGATCCTTTGATGCTGCTGTATTGGCAAAATTTCACAATGCATTGGGTCGTCTGTCTTTGGACAGAAAGTAGGATATGAACTCCATTTTATTTTCTATAAAATAGTATATGTACATTTAGTTCATGTGTCAATTTGGACCCAAAAAGGTGTTAAGTATGACCAACCAAGTGGGCGCTAATAGAATAACCAGAATATACCAGTAATATAAGTATGATGTATTTCAGTTTTCATGTGCAGCACCTATAGATGGATTAAGTAGTAGTGGTTATCGTGATGTTTGGGTGTGTAATAGTGATGGTTATGTGGGTCACATGTGTTTATTAAGTTTACAACCAGAGCCTATAGTAACATTAAATACTCCTGTACCAGGATGCAATGCTAGAATATTATGTATCTCATCTGTTCCTGCTTATATTGGAGCATTTCGAAGGTTAGTTGACTGTTTTAAATGAAACTATATTCTTTAGGTTTAAAGGGGGTTTCAATCTATGTATATGTCATCTTCACAATGTCAAGTTATTATGACCTTCGGCTTATGCCTCGACTCGAATAGCTGCCTTCCTTATATCGCGGATGCTGTGATTTGATTGGATTGTATGTCAGCAAATACAGCCAATCAGAACCCTCGACAGGAATACTGTAAATATTTATTGCTTAGTGGTTACAGTTTTTGTCAAGGCTTTTGATTGGCTGTATTTACTAGTATACAATGAACACTGTACCAGTGAACACCAGAAATGGCAATATGGTGTAGTGGAAATGTTGATCACTTATTGAGAAGATTACTGCTTGCTACTCATTCTTTGATCACACAGTGTTCAACACAGAGTATCAACATGTTTCAGGTCCTGATTTGATATTGTACATTGCTCTACAATCGATGTATTGAGAACTATTTTAAAAGTGAAAGTACTTTGTTATTGTATGATACATGTATGATTTTATGTTTTTTTTATGAATTTCTAAAAGTTTTATATTTATGACTATCTATGGTGCTTTATATCAAATACCAAGATAGAGATGTATATAAAATGTTTCAGAAAAAGCAGTCAGAAGGGTAAAGGTAGACAACTAGAAACATTACATTGTGAAGAAGTGATACAAGAGAAGAGTAATGAAGGACCAGCTATTAATGTAGAGAAATGTGATGGTGAAGATGATGAAGATATGGAAACTGCTGGTGAAGATGGTTATCAGTCAGATTCAGAGTCTAGTGATGATGAACCACTCTCGTTTAGTCACCAGGAAAAGCTCTTTGTCAGAGGTAATTTCAGATGAATGTCAATTTCCTATTGTGTAGTAGAGCAAATGATTTGGCTTTACTGATTAAAGGCCCTTTCGAGTGTGTCAGCGTCAGTGTTTCTTAAAGGGACATGTTCGCCATCCGTGCGACCAATCATACCTTAGTCTAAGAAACAGGAATTTTTTAGCCAATCAGTATAGTGTTCACAGCTCACCCGCAGAATTTGAGCCTTCAAATCCATGTGTGTATAGAATTATTCGCTTTTGAAAGTTAAAATGAAAACTCATGTTATCTTGAGATACTGCCATATATAGAAAAGTCATTTATAGAAATAGGAAACGAAATTCCTTGTTTGGGATATTTTTGAAGGAATTATGCAATTTTCTTACATTTCTAATATTTCTGAAGACTATTTACATATATTCAAGACCCAATTCAACCCACAAAAATGGCGAACCTGTCCCATTTATACTGAATAAAATAAAACATTGTATTGTATCATCATGAGCTGAAAAAATTATTATTTGAATTTTTTTATGATCTGCATTCACTGTTCAAACTGATGACATTGCATTTACTGTAAGAGTTTTTACGAATCACTTGATTTAAACCTTGGGATCAAGTGCATTGAGAAGGATATGCAGAAATATTCATTACTTGAGCATATATCTATTATTAGAAGAGATGTCTGATGAAGAGAAAGCACCACCTCCAGCCCCTCCACCACCATCATTTACTACATCACCTGATCCTATTACTACTACTGGTAACTGGTTACAAGATGCTTGTAAAAGTACCATGTGGTTGGGTACTGAAGATGGTTGGTAAGTATACCCTTTAGCATGTATACTGTTATTATACTTTTTGAAATGCATTTAAAGGGACGGGTATTTATGTGATTTTTGTACATTTCCAGTGCTTCTGAAGATTATTTATATATATTCTAGACTAAAATCAACCCCCCAAAATGGCACATCTGTCCTTTTAATAAGGGAAATGAATGCTTGTTTGTCAGAAGCATCTGATTGCAGCTATGAGTTGTCTGGACCGAAACATCTTCCTCTATTCCAGCCTCTGATAGCAATGTTTCCACCCTGCACCCTCCCTTATAAAATCCATCATTCTTGGTCAAAACTGTTTTTGTAGTGATTCCCATTCAGATATAGCAGATTGGTGTATAATTTTGTACATGATTTTCTTTCAGTATCCATATTTTCCAATGTACAGACAACATAAAAACCACAAAGAATAAGTTAAAAATACAACATGGTTCTGCTGTGTATGGTATTGTGTAAGTATCTATTCAGATCTAATGATGTTTCTTCTATTCTTAAAATATTCCAAAGAAATTATTGTAATGTGAATATATCCAGATAGATAGATAAAGTTTATTATTAAGGTAATAAAGTGTAATATGATATATTTTTCAGATATTACGATAATAAATTATTATATTGTATTTTTTTTTTATATGTTAAAGATAATAAAGTATTATATTGTATTTTTTTTAGATGTTAAAGATAATAAAGTATTATATTGTATTTTTTTTAGATGTTAAAGATAATAAAGTATTATATTGTATTTTTTTTAGATGTTAAAGATAATAAAGTATTATATTGTATTTTTTTTAGATGTTAAAGATAATAAAGTATTATATTGTATTTTTTTTTTAGATGTTAAAGATAATAAAGTATCATATTGTATTTTTTTTAGATGTTAAAGATAATAAAGTATCATATTGTATTTTTTTAGATGATAAAGATAATAAAGTATCATATTGTATTTTTTTAGATGTTAAAGATAATAAAGTATCATATTGTATTTTTTTAGATATTAAGATAATAAAGTATTATATTTAAATCTTTCAGATATTAAGATTAAGGTATTGAGATAATGAAGTTTGATATTTTTCAGATATTTAGATAATGAAGTTTGATATTTTTCAGATATTTAGATAATGAAGTTTGATATTTTTCAGATATTTAGATAATAAAGTATTTGTATCTCTAGCTAATGGAGATTTAATTGTGTATAAACGAGACCAAGGTATGTCCAAAAAGGGTTAGTCATTATTTTCTGTGTTTTCCTTTCCTCTTTTTTTCTGCCTTTTCTCTTATCTTTTTTTCCTCAATTTTTCCTACACTCTATCCTAAAGTTAAAAGTGTCATGATTTGTAGCTAGACTAGAATTTGGTGATTTGATAACACTGAATTCTTATGAATATATCTAAAAATCTATTTACTTGATTTAGATATCAAACTCTGTGAATTTGTTGCGTGATTTCAGTAGCAAAGTCTTAATCATTTAATACCATAGCTACAACCTTGATCAAGTAACTGTGTAAAACTCTTTTTAAATCCTTAGTACTGTAATAACAAACAGTAGTCTGGTTGCTCCTCTACCTTATAGACATTGTAGATATTGGTCAGGTTTAGTTTTAATTGTTATCAAACTCAGATTATATGTCTCGTGGCAATGCTAAATTTGAAATTGATATTTTAGAGGGCTTGTGGGATACAGAGAATCCTTATACAAGAACTATTGGTAGCTCATCTTCTCCTATAGCTAAAATGTTGGCTGTAGCTGGGAAATTATGGTGTGGTTGTCAAAATACTATATATGTGATAAATCCTTTAACTCTTGGTATAGAGGTATGTACAAATTCTTTCTATGTAATAAATCTTTTTGATTAAATTCCATGAATGGCTACCTGTTGGCCGTCAAATTCCCTTGGTGATAAAATGTTGCCCCTTAAAATGTTCAGTTTGCTTTGAGATGCAGGTATGAAGAAGTCATTGGTTGCACAGACAAATTGCATAAGTCTTATAGCAGTATAGTTTGAATTCAGCAAAGCAAGTGGTGAATTGACTTTTAAATCATCTCTATCTGCTACCATTATGGAAATGAAGGGCCAAAAGGCGGAAAATCTCTTGACATTCTTAAATACCCTAGAATGGGAAACCAAGACTAATGATTCTTTTGATTATTGTATTTATAGAAATCATTTATTGTAAATATGGATTCCAATAGAGCTGTACAGTGTATGGTGTGTTCTGGTCAGGGAGTATGGATAGCATCTCAACAAAGTTCAAAGGTCAACTTATTTCATGCAACTACATATGAATTCCTATTAGAAGTGAGCATAGCTCAAGCTGTGTCGCAAAAACTACAGTGTAAGTTACTTTACATTTTTTATAGAGAGCCATACTTTATCAAAAGCCTTCTTAATGTCACAAAATTCAATTGAAAAGTTCTTCTTTGTCTTGAAGAATTAAAGCTTGCCAAATATCTTTATGACTACTAAATCATTGAGTTCTTACATTTGCTGTGAACCCCACTTGATAATTCTGTAGTCAGTAGTCTGCCCCTAACTTAAAGGGACAGGTAGGCCATTTTTTTTTACCAATCATACTTTAGTCTCAGAAAATGGAATTTTCACAGTTCACTGTCGAAATTTGAGCCTTCAAATCTATGTGGGTCCAGAATTATCTGCATTTGAATGTTAAAATAATTTAAGATACTCAGTGATATTATAGAATACACATATAAAGAAATAGTGAGTTCAATTCCTAGTTTGAAGTATTTTTAAAGGAATTTATGATTTTCATACATTTCTAGTACTTCTGAGGACTATTTACATAAATTCAACACTAAAATCAACCCCTTAAAATGGCCTACTTGTCCCTTTAATCATTCAAAAGAAATGTCACTGAGAAGTTATCGAAAAAAAGAATTCTTGTTTAAGTTGATGATAAAGCTGTAATATTGTCTAGCATTTTCTAATTTGAGACCTCATCATTGCTTCAGAATATCTTTTGAGGAATTTATTTATTACCATTTTTTCTCCATTGTGATACATTTCTTCACTCATTTTTTTCTTGTAGCTGCTGATGATATAATCCGTCAACATAAAGCAGCCTGTCTGCGATTAACAGCATTATTAGTGTGTAAAGATTTATTATGGGTAGGAACTAGCGCTGGCGTTATACTTACTATACCTATTCCTAAAATAACCTCAACTACGACAAATGGCTCCTTAGCCACACCTACTGTTACTGGTATGTATCTTCATATTTATTATGTATGAACTAAGGCAGGTCAACAGCAAAAGTTCTTGTTGATTATTTTACATTAGGGTAGCCAGTGATAAAATGTTTCTAATGCTTAGCGGTTGTACATAGTATTTGAATCCCTTTCATCTTGTTTTGAACTATTCCTCACATGCAATCTTTTAATTGATTTTGGCAAAGTTCATTTGCAAAATTAGGTGGATGTTTTGAATATTGTGAAATTTATGGATTGCATTAACCAAGGAAACATTACACTTGTACATAAGAGATTAAGAAATCCAGCTTTAAATATTTTACAAGCTTCATCAAAGGTTCCACGCGATTAATAATAATTTTTTGGAGAGATATCCTTAGAGCTTAGGAATACAGTGCCCATTTTTCTACCATTCATTGCATCTCTCATCAATGAAATTGTAAAGTCTCCTGTAACAATAATGAATTATTCTTACGATGTTGGTTTTTCAGGTCTTGTACATGGACATACTGGTCATGTTCGATTCCTTACTTGTGTAGATATTTCTAATGCTGGTTTACCAAAATCAGACTCAACTTCAAAAGACGGTCCTGAAGGTCATTCATTTCCTGACCTTCACCGTAGATCCTCCATGGCAACAATGACTGCTACTATGGCAACACGTATGTTAGTGATTAGTGGTGGTGATGGGTACGAGGATTTCCGTAATAATCAAGCCAATGAAGCTGCTGGACGAGATGACAGCACCAATCATTTGTTGTTGTGGCAGGTGTGATCTTAAATGGCTCTCTGAAGTTTGGAAGGGTCAGAATGTTGGAGAGACGCATTTTTTCAGTTTAGTTTTGAAACACACTGAACTGCTCTAATGCGTTGAGCAGAAATTTTGACCATCTCTGATTTGAGCCAAACTCAATAATGTATACTTGTATATATAAATCCAAGGTGCTCATAATACTGCTATACCTTGTGTATTATTCACCATTCTCAATGTAGTCTCATTTGTTCACTGTGTATGATCGTATTAAGATATCAAGTGCCTTGTATTAAAACCTAATGATAATGGCATAAATGTGAGTTGATGTCTATGAACAATATTGCAAGGCAAACCAATTAAAATCTGATATTTTTAGACTGCATTTTTTCAGAATAAGGAATTGTAGGATAGTAAAGCACAAAAATGCTGCCATACTGCTCCAATTAAGGTTGTGATATCCCACAATTCCTTATTTTTATCAAGAAACGGGTTCTACATGAGCCGCTTTGATTGGTTAAAAATTCTCTTTTGGAATGGAGATATAGGTACAAGGGAATTTAGATTACAATGTAGACTAAAACCATCAAAAATGAAAAAGATAGGAAATTGTAATCCAATTTTAATTAAATTGATTGCAATGTTGCATGTGCATTTTTATATCCAAACTTATTAGGCATATTCAATGAAAATAACTGGCCTAAGATAAATAATGCAGAGATCTGAAATTTTGTTAAAATGATATTCTATTTCCACAATAAATGAGAGCAAATCAGATTATATGTATCAAGAATATTCAATTGATATATCTTCTTGTTAAAGCTGCATTATTCTGAATCTTGCACAGTGAACTCAAACCTAATAATTCTGTTATGAATTTCTAATAACACTAAATTTATTTCTTATCTGTATTTCATGTTATTGAATTTTAAAGGGATTGTAAAGATCTTTTTTTAAAATTTTATGTGTATCAGACAAGAGAACTTCGATTTGCACCATTTCAAAAATATTTTATGACATCACTCACACAAGGTTCTTATACATTATTAGAAACTTTTACAATAGTGATGTCATATAATGCAATTGCAAAAATCACTGAAGACTAAAATACAAATTGGAATGGTAAAAATCAATGCTATCAATGTCCCTGATTGAAGTTTTCATGTAAACCAGTTTTGCAAAGGTAAATAAACTTTTAACTGCGATTGTGAATAACAGAATTTTTAAGTTTGAATCTCGATCAATGAAATAAACAAGTGATGTACATAGTGAAAATAATGTACAAATTATGTCATCAAATCCCCATTTGTGACTTTTTCTCATTTTTAAGACAAAATAAGGCTGAAAATTTAGAAGTGCCTTACACTGAAAGATGTGGTTTATGTAATATTTTATTATCATGAAGTGCTATTATTATTATTGTAATTAGTATTTGATATCATTATTGTAATGTACAGTAGAAACTTGTTATATGTTTGTGAATGGCTGTGATAGTATTTTTAGTACATCTTTGTTACTGTGAACTTATTTTGGCTTTAAGTGTGCTTTGTGACTGCTTTGACAATTGTTTATTCAGACAAAAATTGGGTATTGATCTACAAATGCTAAACAGTCTTGGTCGGCGATTTTCAGTGACCAGCTGGGGGCACACAAGGAAACAAAAAATCTCTAGTAGGTTGTTTTCCACTTTGTCGATAAGAAAGTGCGGAGCATACACTTGAAAAGAAAACAAATCTGATTAGATGATGATGCTGTCTTGCAATAAAACAGTTGGCAACTTGATAATCTTGTCATGGAAGCACGGGCATATGCAAGATTTTGCTCGAGATTCGCGTCAGTGACAAAGACTGTTGGTGTGCCTGCAGCATAAGAAACTTTTAATGCTTTCTAATTTGTTGTCTTATCCCAGTCAACCAAGCATCAATGGGTATGGATAATTTGGGAAAGATCCTTTTCAAAGTTGTTATTCTTCTTGTGAGAAATTTCTCCTCTGTGGTTAATTTAGTCAAATCTGAAACTACTCTAATTTATTTTTTATTTCCCTTAAACCTCAATTGTAATATTTAGTCTTTGGTATTATGACTGTTCGCATGACGGAATTTGACACAAAATTCCCCTCCGTAAAATCAAATTTCAACTGGAAAAATTTTCATTGGTGGGGATTTTCTGGAAGACAATCTAATTCTGTACTGTACTATTCAAACAAATATACCTGGAATATTTATAATACTGAAACTCCAATGATCGGAGAAAGCAGGTTTTTATTTATCACTTTGCTTACTTTTCTGTTTGTTGAAGGGTCTGGTTATATGTAATGGACTAGCCCTGTAAGCCGAGCTGACTTGGTTACCCAGGCTGAAATATTTGCCTTTATATTTGAACCCAGGCTAGGACTATAAATCTATGTTGGCTTTTAAAAGTATGCTACAAGAATGTGCTAAGTCTTATATCAATACCGGCTACTTAAGATGGACCTGCTTTCCATATATATACAATGGAGTAGAAATTGACCAGAATGACCTCCAAGCCCGAGTAACTCAGCAAACTAGGACATCTCGCCTAACCGAGCTAGTCTTCCACATATAACCAGGCCCTTAAAATCTATTTATATTTTAAAGTATTTGTTTTGTACCTCATTATTTGTAAAATCTGTATCATTGTTAATGAAATTTGTGGTAGCATTTAGTCCCCCACTTTACCTTGTATTATAATTCCTTTGTATTTCTAGTCATTAGATATGTTTAAACTTGAAAAATGGAGTTTTACAAATCTGCATGGAAACAGTATTATTTCCTGACCACAACAATGATATATCCAGCTTATATTTCAGTATTAAGTGCAACTATACACAGTATATTTTGAAAATATCTATGCGATGGTCTTCCAGTCTAAACAATAAGTTTGTTATAGTATAAAAATTTTGAAAACCGGATTCTGAATATCCAAAAGAAATAAAACAAAACAATTCACCATTAACATAATACATCATTGGCCAATGAAGTTAATTGGATCAATTTTTTTTGCACCATATCTTTTTGCTTTGGTAATCTTTTATGTGGTATGATTTAAATTATGTGCAGTACAATAGTTTTTTTTTCTGTTTGACTCAATTTTTCAAGTGATTTGTTGAATATATTGTAGAGCCATTATTTATAATTTTTAAACCAGTTGATCATGTTAATAATGTTTATAGTAACAGTCAATCTTTGTCAGCCAGTCATTGTTTTTAATTTTCACTGCCTTCAATACAATTCATTTATTTGTATTTGAATATTTCAGATTTTAATTAGTCAGTGTTGATGTCAAATTTTTTAATAAAGACTGTTTACCAAATAGAAACGTGCAACAGCGATTTATTTGTCATAGCTGTCCAATTAAATAAGACTAAACTTTCGTTCCGTTTTTTATTTTCACAAAATCTCAGTGTTTGAGTGGGAAGAAATTGGATTGGCAGGCGATATCATAAAATATTCAAGAGGCCTGTCATAAGTCCCTAACTGAAGTAGCTAAAGTAAAAATAGAAGCTAATAAATAATAAAGTTTGTTCTAATTTTAATAAGACTGGTCACAGTTCTGATTATTTTAGCCTTAGCAATAATTAGTTAACATATCAATGTTTCTGGCGGCATGCACCTCTTCTACATGAATAAAATTTTTAAATATTTTTTTTTGTTTCTTAGATATTTATGAGAGGACATTTCCATATGTTGAATTGTTCAGGAGGGCAGCTTTTCATTCAGAGTAAATCATAGCTTTCTGCAGTAGAGTCGCATATTCTTGAACTGATCTTGGCACTGAAATGTCCTCAGGTTTTAACTTCTAACACAGCAGGATAGAGATCCAAGATTGTTTCAAGAACATGTGGACACTTTTTACATGACACCCCAAAAGACCTGAACGAATGGCAGTGGGAAACCTAGTAGAAAATTCCCAGGTATGATCTCAACCACTTTCATTTAGGGCTTATTCTATCTGTTCCTAAGAAAACTTGACAAGCAAGGAGATTTTATCATTTATTTTTTTGTTTCTTTTATTTTTACCACTTGTACCTGAAAGAAAAGTTTGAGCAAATTAGGGATGGATACAAACAAGAAATATGAGAGGTTCTTGTACATGAGGGGTCAATGTACAAGATTAGCACAAAATCATATTTGACTGATATTGTGTGCAAGAGAAATTTTCTTAACAAATAGTCATAACATTCATTTTCTCATATGTCTCCTGTAAAAATTTAAACCAATTCAGTAACATTACCCCCCTCCCCCATCTCTTGATATTAATCCTGATGTCAATGCTCAGACAGCCCTAGGGCTAATTATATTCATGAAGATAGCTGGTGTTGGTGGGTTCTGCTATCACTAGCTCCAACATCTACAACTACCCAATCAGATCAGAAATTTTCATCATAGCATTGACATCCGAAAAAGGCAACTCAAACTTCAGCTTTAAATAAACTAATATTCCCTATTGAACCACCAATTATGTTCAGCCAGTATTGCATACAATACTGAATACTGGTACTAAAATTAATTTAACAGAAGGTAAATATTCTTGGTATTCCATACAAAATGATTTCTACAGAAAACGTTAATGCAACCTTTTAAACATTATTTTTGACAGGTTATTCCTGTCTGGAAACATTCTTGCACTGTAACTTATTAACCCAGATATAATTCCATCACATAGCTGTTGATTTCAAATTTTTCAGAATATGTAACATTCAAAATAACATCAAGCGAGAAAAGGTTCAGATCATAAGAAAATAATCACCTTGTCTGAGGAGTACATGTCGAATAGCTGTATCTACATATTCTAATAAGGGATCACCACTGTGTATCATGAGGCCATCTATGAATTTCATTGACTTGGCTCTCTGTCCACGGAGTTTACCAGATACAACGACTTCACAGCCCTTAGCTCCACTTTCCATAATAAATCTCAATACACCATAACATGCTCTAAGAATTAAAAACATTAAGTTAAAGCAAAAGATCTGACAGTATATCGTCCTTGACATAAGTCAAAATCTATTAGCACAAATGGGTAACTTTAATCTATCAAATTTTTAAATTTGGCAAATATTAAAATCTGTTTATAGATGGCATATATTTAGAATATTGACAAATGCAAAATCATATTGTAATTTCTAAACCATCATTCGTTAAATTGCATTGAAACCAAAATAGGTTTGCAAGAGACTTGGTGCAATTACCTTCTAACAGCTAATCCTCCAATTAACTTGTATCGTAAAGATTCACATTGAGCTATAGCACATAAACCTCTTGTAGCTACCTTCTCAGCATACAACTAAAAATATTAACATATCAGTAAAGAAATGAACTTTACAAAATGAATGTGATCATATCTATGATCACAAAAAAGGATCTTGTAACTCATTTCATGAACTCATAATAATATTTGCATGGCCTCCAAAGTTAATCAACCAACACACATATGATGCACAAGCTGAAATATTTGGAAGAAAGCAGGGCTTTGTAGCTGCAGCATGCTTTTCTGGTCTACATTGAGGTTTTGGGGCGAGACTTTATTTTGAATGATATATTGCACAAAGGTGACAGGTCTGTATACCAAAAAGATCCCATACTATCCTAATATAAATAAAAAAAAACAATACTCACTTCAACTGTGTTTTCTAAAAAGTTGAATCGCTTCTGAACAACTGATGTCAATTCACGTATACGTCTTCCCTTTTCACCGAGCACATTTTGTGTTCTAGTGGCTAGAATAATGATTTCAGTCCTTGTTGGTGTGACTCTAACCTCAACACCACTGTATCCATCTTCTGCCAATTCTCGAGTTAAAAACTCATTCAATTCAGCTTTAAATACACCGTCAGCGACGAACTACAAAGACATAATAAATTTCATGTATTAACAGGGCAATTGTGAGAGAACTGGGTATCTTTTTATAACTCTGATGGTCCGTTTTGATTGATCCTGACACAAGTCATGATATTGGCCAATTTCTAGTTTCGATATATATGTAAATTTCTTTTATTTGCTGGCAATTTTAGCATGGCAGTCTACTATGGTAGAACTAAATTTATTACAAGTTACAGCACTGCCACAGGATGATTTTGATGGCATAAGGGTATTTGTTAGGATTAGTTGATTTTTTATGTTCAGTGGTTAGCCACGATATGTGTTATAAATGTGAAGCAGCAACACCGCGCATATAGGAAAACTAAAATAACATATAGGTCGCATGATGCTACATGGAGAAGGCCGTGAATTAGATAGAGAAACCCAATATTGCACTGCACTGACTATTGCAACGAGTGTGCAGGACAATTAGATGCAACCCATCCACTAATTAAATGATTTGCCATGACGATAAAAGACTGACTGATGTCTCGGAGAAACGATTTGTAAACAGCAAAGCAACAGAAACTCGTGGTTAACAAGGTACCCGATGCTAACAATCCACCTTGAATCCCAACGATCTGTGCAGAAAATATTTAGATATGATAGTCAGTAGTTATATGAATCTTCATACAAAAGAATAATACAACGATTTTTATTGAAAGGTCAAGATTAATTATAAATAATAGCAGTCAACCTTTCGCTTCTTGGGAAGATGACGTCCAACCATCTTGGATGATTATCGGAAAAGGAAGTAGTTGAAAATGAATTGTGGGAAGGCAGGTGCTCGAAACAACAAACTGAAAGTAGAGCTGTCAAAGTCACGTGGTGCATGGTGTTGATCAGTTTTCAACAGTTGCAGGGTGTTTTTATCTATGAAATTTAATCGTTTCGGCTGTTACTAATCCTGATTGCTGGTTGCTGATTTTTTTTCAAAAATTTCGTTGATTAATGATGCAATGTTCAGTCACATTTCTATTATGTTTCTTCACGACATGTGTCTTGACAACATTATCATCACCAAACTTTTTGGGTGTTTCTGATGAACAACTTATACCCCATTATGAAGGATTCTTATCCAAATATGAGAAAAAGTATACAAATCATTCTGAAGAATATTGGAAACGTTTCCATAATTTTAAGGTTTGTTTGAAGGTTGCATATTGTAAGAATTCAATTTAAATTGCTAAAATTTGTACTTTTGCTCCACCACTCTCCTAGTTCCAGGAAGTAATAGAATTTTGTGAAGTTTGCTGTGAATTTTATAGACATGTGATTGCAGGCTTTAGTCTAGTTTCGAGTCGATAGATCAATTGGAAGAAGGGTGGGGCAAAAGTGCAACACAGTGCCAAATAATTGATTTGTATATCATTAGCAGTAATTACGTATTTAATAACATTATTTTCAAACTATTACCTTTCAGCAAAGTTTAGTAAAGTCAAGTTATTTAAATAAAAAACATTACAATGATACCAGCGCAGTATATGGTGTGACTAAATTTTCTGATTTATCACCTGAAGAATTCAAAAGTATGTGTATTAACTGGAAATTACTTTATTTCAGTGATTGGTACTCTATAATCTGTGTCAAATACGGAAAAACAATTTTTTGAACCTAAGAATCTAAAGAAATTGTCTGGGGGTTGATTTGAGTCTTATATATATGTAAATAGTCTTCAAAAATACTAGAAATGTATGAAAATCACATAATTCCTTCAAAAATATTTCAAACTAGGAATTTCTTTTCGTATTTCTATACATGTCCTTTCTATATATGGCAGTGTCTCAAGCAAAGACTTGTCTTTTTAACATTCAAACGATTGGTCTGAGAAATAGTGCACCTCTTCCTTTTAAAGGAGAAAAATTATCTAGGTTTATTTCTTTTTCAAAGTAGTTCAGATTATGTATTCTTGATTATCAAGAACCCAAAATAACTTTTAACATGGGAATTACTGAACCTGTCAAAACCTTAGAGAGAACCGTTTCCTGAGAGATATGTATTGCCACAAAATAAGTAGATTGGCATCATTTATCATTTAGATGACACCTTTGAATATAAGTTATTGCCCACTATAGTAAGATATTGAAATTGTGAAGTCATGAGATCTGGCTATACCATGTTGGTACCATAGGATTGATAACATTCAGATTATTTAGGGTCTTGTAGAAGGCTTTGTGCAAGAATAGGATTTTTTGTTTGTATGTGGAGATTAAGATGATGGGTAATAATATTTTATAAAATGGCGCTTCCTAATTTTTAAAACATTTTTGCTCGTTCTTATTTTCATGATTTAGGAATCTATTTAGAAGATTTAAGAAGTCCTTTTCTATTTAAACGAGTCAAACAAACAACACCTATTGAATTAATACGTCAACTAAAAGTACCACAAAAAGTTGATTGGTAAGTAAAACGTAATTACACATGAATAGGTTACATTACTTTGATGTATTTTAATTTGCATTACATTTGATAAACATGTAATGATGTATGATCAAGTTCTAAGTTTTCAAGTTGATAAATTTGGTATGATGAATGATAAATTTTCAAAGAAAAAAATGATTACTGATAAATGTAAATGTGTAATAACAAATGTTAACCAGTTATAAGGAATGATAAATATGTAATGATCAACATTAAATCTGGAATGAGGGATGATAAATGTGTCTAGATGAATGTGTTATGAGGAATGATTAATGATGTATGTATTTTTTGAATGATCAATGTGTATTATTGAATGATGTATGTATTCATTGAATGATCAATGTAATTTAATGAATGATGTATGTATTTATTGAATGATCAAGGTGTATTGATGAATGATCAATGTGTATTGATGAATGATCAAGGTGTATTGATGAATGATCAAGGCGTATTGATGAATGATCAAGGTGTATTGATGAATGATAAAGGTGTATTGATGAATGATACATTCAATGATAAATATATATTTTTAGGAGAGAGAAAGGTATAATATCTGATGTTAAAAATCAAAAGTCTTGTGGAGCATGTTGGTAAGCATTTGAATTTGAAATTTCTTTGATAGCATGGTGGGAGCCACGGTGGCTCAGTGAGTTAGACGCTTGCTGGCTAAGCTGAAGGTCCAGGGTTCAATCCCGGTATAGGTCGAGATAATACCTTCGGATTTTACAACCCTGTTTCCCCCTGTCAGTGATGCAGGTAGGAGGGGCTGACATGGAAAAAGCATCTAGTCATTCGGGTGGGACAATAAACCAAGGCCGCTGTGTGATACAGGTTGTGCACGTTAAAGATCCTTCAGCAGTTGGAAATCGAAAAAGAGCAGGCTAATGTCGCTTTCCTGGCAAAATTTCCCTCATTGCACCCTGCATGTCGTCGCCCATCTTCATTAGCCCACAAGGTGCAGAAAAGTAGGATGTAAAACTCCATTCATTTCATTTTGATAGCCTGGTGACTTGTAGGGAAGTTGATCTACAGATTCTTGAAATGATCCCTAGATAATTATCTTGCCAGGAATAACTATATATAACTATATAAATATTACTCAAGTACTCAATTCTTTTTGTAATGGTTATAACTGTAAAAATAAAAACTGGACTGATGGCTTTAAATAAAATTTGTAATCAATGTTGTCCAAGATTATGTAATATCTTCGTAGTATAGTTGATTGTTTGTCACATTCTCATATTAAAAAGTGATACAGGAAGTTGAAATGAACTAACTAACTAAGCAAACATGATTTTATATCCATTTATATCTTCAGGGCTTTCAGTTCTGTGGAGACAGTAGAGAGTATGGTTGCTAAGGAAACAGGAGTTGCTGTTCCTGATTTATCAGTACAGGAAGTTATAGATTGTTCTAGTGATAATGATGGTTGCGGAGGTGGTGATACATGTTCTGCTTTAAACTGGTTGCAGGTCAGTATTTATCAAACATTATTAGCATTGCATCATTAGAAGAAATGAAGTGTGATCTGATAACAATGGAGTAGGTGGATTAACCTGCTAGAAAGCATGAGATGTCTCAATGAGATTTACTGTTTTACAACTGTGATCTGGTTCTTCTTTTGACCTTGTAGTCTCAAAGCAACCTTAGTGCTATGATGTCCTAGGGCCTCAGTTCCCAGTTTTCACCCCCTAGGGGTGTGGGACTAGGGTGTCAGGGGTGTAGCCAACTGGTGTAGGAGAAGAATTTATTTTGAATTGAGAGAGCACCTCGCGTCATCTCATGCTGGAAATGTGGATGATACAATTTTTTGGGGGTGTGCAAAGTCCATGTTATTGCTCCAGGTGTGTGAAGGCTGAAATAGGTTGGGAACCACTGTCCTAGGGTCTTCACCTTTAACACTGTTTCTAGGATATCTTAGTGCTAAAATTGCTTAGAGATTACATAGGCAGCTTAGCGATTGATAAGAGTGAGTATGGAAATTTTTCTACATAAAATTTGGCATCCATTTTCCCTACAACTATCATAAATGTACAGGAAGTTATCAACATTTCAAGATAAGTTATTATCTTTGTCATTATGGTAATATTGTTGGGAAATTAGATGTCAGATTTAATGCCACGAATTGTTGAAATTTGGTAAAATAAATATTTAGACAACTGTATCCCTTAAGGCACCTAGTTCCCAAGCTTTTGACGACATCATAAACCTTAACCATTATATGCTACCTACCAGTTCCACTCATTTACGAAGGGAAACATAGTGACATCGTGCAAAAACCACACCCCCATTTCTCATACTTCCTTCTTGATTTCAAAACCCATATTCAGGGTGCAATGGCTCAGTGACAGCTTGAAAGTATTGTTTAAACCACATGAAAATTGGGCACAATCAACAGAAAAGTTTGAAATATCTGCATCTTACCATATACAATACATTATAAAATTTTAACCTTAGGGGTTCTAGTTAGCCAAGTTTGGAAACATGACTTTGGCAGAATTATTTGAAGAACTGCATTCTCCATTGCATTAAATTTCAAAAATGTTATTTTACAGATAGGTGCACGTTTAGTTTCTGATGATGCCTATCCATTAAAAGATAAATCAGAAGTATGTCAAGTATTAAGTGAGGAAGGTCAACCAATGATACAAGTTTCCAATTATACTTGTTTAGGGTATGTACATGTTTTAATCAAATACTTAATCATCTACTGGCTTCTTAGTTTTGTCCACAAATCAAATTTTACTGATAATTTTATATTAATAGGAATATCAGATTCCAATAATACAGATATTACGATTAAAAATCAAAAGATTAACGTAAGCATTTGTTTTATCTACAAAATTTATTGCCAGATAATCTTTGATGTGTTTCCTTTAGTTATTGCATTTTGATTTTGGAAATATTTGGGGACAAAAACAATTCGATTAAATCTTTTTAATGAACCGAAATCTCAATATCACAGTTTCTATAAATAAATGTGACAAAGAGAGTTAGTAAAGGTGTATCATTTGAAGACTCATGTTATTCATTTCCAATACTACTTTTGAGTGTTATACTTTTTGCAGTTTTTTAGTTGAATATGGCATGTAACTTTAACATACATTGAAAATGGTCTAATGTTATAGTTCATGTAGAATAGCAGATCCAAAATACATTTAATTAAAATTAGATTACGATTTTGTATGTGTAAAGAAATTGTGGGATATTGAATCCTCAGTTAGAGCAATATGATAACCTCTTTGGGTTAACACATCCCACAATTCCTTATTTTATCAAGAAATGTTTTGACATGCTTTGATTGGTTAACAATAACACCATTGGTTGTGACTTTGGAAGAAAACTATTTAGATTACAATGGAGACTAATATCAGAAAACAAAAAAGATACGAAATTGTAATCAAATTTAATTATTTTCCAAACTTAAGGGCATGTTGATCATATCTTTTGCAAATAGTAACTTTGAGAATGTTTTGTGAACACTATGTAATGTTTTAGTTTAGTGAGTCGTGAAGATGAAATGGTTCAATTATTAGCTGATGTTGGACCACTAACAGTAACAGTAGATGCTACAACTTGGAATAACTATATTGGTGGTATTATACAGTTTCATTGTTCAGATTTTAATAATCACGCTGTACAAATAGTAGGTTATGACTTAACAGGTATGTTATAGACATTAGGTATATAAACTGTTTATAGCTTTAATCAATGAAGGTTATTATGAAGTCTCCTTTCACAAAATTGGCGGTAAGAAGTGTGAAAATGGTCATTAAAAGGGACAGATTCCCATCCCTACAACCAAAACTTTACTCTTAGAATTAGTCTGGGAATTTTTCTAGTTAAGCTAATCAGTAATATTGTTGTTAATCAATAATAGTATTCATATCTCCCCGTTGAAATTTGAGAATCTATAGAAATAGAAAATTAAATTTGAGGTATTTTTGAAGGAATTAGGCGATTTTTGTGTTTTTTAGTACTTCAGAAGACTATTTCAATATATTCAAGACCCAAAATCAACCCCCAAAAATGAAGAACATCTCTCTTTAAGCCTTTTTAAGCAGTATTTGCTATCTTAGCAAGGAAAACTTATCAAAGATTGTTTATAACCATTGAAAAATTCAAGTGAATCAATGAAGTAAATCCAGCCTTGCTTTAGGAAGGAAAACATTATTTGGTCAATGACATTATGTTGCATTTGGATAAAGATATGCTTATTGTCTAAGTTATACAGTCCAGTGAATATCAATTTTCAGTAATTGAAGGTAATTTTGACATATTTATAGGTCCTGTTCCTTTATATATTGTCCGAAATTCCTGGGGATCAGATTTTGGTATAGATGGTTATCTTCATGTTAAAATTGGTGATAATTTATGTGGTAAGTTGTGAAGAAATGTCTTCTATATTTACTTTTTCCATCTTAGCTTTTTTCTTTTTTTCCTCCATGAGGATCCATTAAACAGCAAATAAATTTGTCTTGCTTTGCTAACAACAAAAAGAATGTTTCACGAATGTGACAGCACTGTTACATTTTTTGTACCAATAATGAATCTGTTTTATTTTGTAGGAATTGCAAAAAGGGTTTCTACAGTTCATGTGAAAGCGTAGTCTTCCAGTTAATCAGCTAATCAAAAAACATTCCATGGCATAAATGACTTTGGGTGACCAAGATTGCACAAACATCATTAATGTCATTATTGCTCAATATGCAGTATTTTCACAAATGGCCTATCAATGAATTCACATATACATATACAAAGATTTTTTGAAAACAGTAGAAATTTAGGACTGACAGAGGATGTTTCTATGTTGAAATGTACAATATTTGGTATGAAACAACCATTTCACTGCACATGCATTTTGTTTTTCTTAAAACTGGAAGACATTGTCAAAAACAAAGAAAGTGCTAAAGTTTTCTATAGAATTCATGTCTTCCATGTAAATTTTCTTTGACTAAAGTAGAATTCGTGGTTTATAAAGTTTCTTTCTTTTTGTAGAACTTGTTTTGGTTCCCTTTTTTGAAATTATAATTTATAAGAATATTTTGTAAATATTCAAACATTATGTTAAATATTGTATAAATAAATTTGTTAAGTTTTGTATAATTATTTGTATATCATTTTGTATATAGTTTGTACAGTCTTGTATAGTAAAAGTTGATATAAATAGGCAGCCCATTTCAACATTTATGGTAACTATTCTTACTTTTTTAGCTTTGTTTATGTACCATCTTCTGCATTCCACTATAATTTGGTGCCTAATATATCAATTGAATCATCAAAATCCTTTCAGATTCATGGGTTCATACACCAACCAGACCAGAAAGGTTTCCAGGCTATTTTGATTAATGTGAATGTAATGCAAATCCGTACAAGCTAGACAATTCTCTTTAATCAAAAATCTCGTCCAAAGAATGGCCAAACTTTGAAAAAAGTTGTAAAGTAGTGAACTCCTCCAAAGAGAAGTACCATCAGGGGTTTTAAAAACAGTAAGTATGGACTGGAACGCAAGCAAAACCTGCCAATACTATAATGGTCATCATGATGAGATACAACCAGATCAATTCATGTATATTTATTGAGGACATTGATAGCACTGATATACACCATTCCAATTTTCTGTGAGTCATGCCATTCCTCAAAAGCTAAGCATTATATGACACCACTATCACAAAAGCTTCTATTTATTAACCACTATTTCTTACTCTGTGTGTTGAGATGCACAGAATGTCTAAAACTATCTAAAGCCTTGTGGCCTATCCCAAAAAAACTTTCAGATTGTCATCCGGAAGACCTCCGTCAACTAGTAACATGGAAGATAGTAGTCTTCAGCTACTTAAGTGATCAACCACCACGTTTAGGTATAACACATTTCTTCATGATTAAAGCGTAGGAAATAAGCACCACAAACAATAACAGAACAATAGTACCAATAACTATACCAGCAATTTCACCATCTTTTAAACCATCTGAAAACAAATATAAAGAACACATTTACATGTTTTTTACATTGATTAGTTAAAGGGACAGACGTGCCATTTTGAGGGGTTGATTTTAGTTTTGAATATATGTGAATAGTCTTCAGAAGGACTAGAATTGTATGAAAATCCCTTTAATGATAATGACTGGGTTGCCGAATTTGTAGCCTTATTCAGTCAAAAAAAGTTGGCATTGCCCACAAATAAAACTGCAAATTTGAAATTCAGCAGCTATAGCACATGAGTGTCCCATTTATTAATTGGATAGTGGAAGAAATTGTGAAAGAAACGTTATCAGATCAATCATGTTTTAATTTAGAAAACTAATATATTATTTATAATGACTAATTTGCTTGACTTTTTTCAAGTGTTCATCAAAACCTATGTTCCTTTAGCAACTGCGTAAGGAGTTTATCACATCTGATGCTGTAAGGAGTTTATCACATCTGACGGTGTACGGTGTTTATCACATCTAACGGTGTACGGTGTTTATCACATCTAACGGTGTAAGGAGTTTATTACATCTGACGGTGTAAGCAGTTTATCACATCTGACAATGTACGGTGTTTATTACATCTGACGGTGTACGACGTTTATTACATCTTGCGGTGTACGACATTGATCACATCTCTCATCTGACGGTGTAAGACGTTGATGACATCTCTGATAAACGTCGTACACTGTTCTAAAGGAATACGATCAAAGCCTTACCTTCCTGAACTTCCAGTGTACAAAATTTTGATGTTCCCTCATCCGGTTTACTAGCAGAATCAGCACAGATATATTTTCCGGCGTCTGTAGATTGAATTGAAGTTATGGTAAAGTTGAGAAATTCTGTATGTGGTGATATTAAAGTATATCGTCCAGCATCTGTAGATGTACATGTCTTATTGTCTTTATTACAAGAAATTATGATGTCTCCATCATGAAACACATTTATACCATTTGAAATATCGGATGGTAAATCACTACATGACAGACTATGAGAATCACCAACACTTATTTTCTCATCTCCACAGTGAGTCAAGATTTCTACAAGTAAATTGTTTGCAATTTAAATGATAAAACTGTGCATGGGTGCGCTTGGTTGGTCTACATTTCTGGTTCTAAACCTTGGTTCAACCCCTTGAGATGCCAGCCTGGACACTTTTGGTTCTCCATATTGCTTATACGAAATAGTTATAGAAAAGAAAAATTGGGATTAGGTGGCCTCTTGTCTATCAATAATTTTTCTTCTCTTCTTTTTTTGGAGGGTTGAGGGGATGTTCCAATTCTTACCTCCATAAACATTACAACTGGAAAATACTGTTATGACCATTAGAATCCATATGTTGTGATCGTACGCCATATTAGGCCTACAAACCTATATAAAATAATATGATATTGGGATTGTAAAGAGATTTTTTAAAGTTTTTATGTGTATTGGACGTCTGTGGTTCCTGCGTTTTATGACGTCACTAATCGCGAATGTCTTATGTGACCAGCATATTTTGCAATTAGTGACGTCATCAAACACTTAGTTTTAGTTGAATTGCAGGAACCACAGGCGTTTGGAATGGTGCAAATTGATACTATTAGTGTTCTGGATAGTGATTCGCATACAATTTTTAGAAACCTCATAACAATCCCTTAAATAAACGATTTGTCAAAATTTGTTGATCTAAATGAAACAATGAGCGTATAATATTTTAAACACGGGGAGAGCTAATCTTGTAAAAATATAAACATGTATTTTACCTTTTACCACCAGGATTTAGTCTACTGTCGTAGATTATAGTTATTAAGTGGCATGACAAAGGAATGAAACACTATTCAGACATGTAGGGTATTCATTATTAGTTTAATATAATACATGAATTAACTAACAGGTTTAATAGTTCATTTCTGTTTTTCACTCTCTTGACGACCACTAAAAGCGCCAACGTAACGCTACAATTATTTCTTAATATGTTTCATAATAAACGAAATACAATGACATTTGATCGGGGCCCTTTTCAAAATAGGCGTCGAGACATAGCCGAAGTTCAACAATCACAGAAGACCGATAAATTAAAAGTGCGAAGATACGATACTCCTCTCCTCTCCTTCCCTCAATCGACAAGACCCTCGTCCCCCTCCCTACCGGGAAGAAGCTGCATCCTATAACAGCCGTGGACCAAAATCCCTTGAACTAGCGTCAATATCAACGATATCCAAATTAATAAACAATCAATATAATCAACTACAACAACAACCTACGGAGATCAAACGAAACTACGTGTCGCTCTTACAGATTTTCCAATTACACTAAAACTAAGTGTTTGATGACGTCATTAATCGAGATGGGCCTTATGTGATAAATCATATTTTGCGATTAGTGACGTAGTCAAGTTTTAGCGTAATTGCATGACGTCTGATTGAAAATTCGAAAGGTGAAAATTGATGCCATCAGCGTCCCCGATAGACTTCATTTTTTTAAAAGAAAGCCTCTTTACAATCCCAATTATCTAATATACCAATATATAATGTAGACAATCATAAACATAAAATACCATTTTTTTTCTTCTGGCATTGTTTAATCTACTGTAATTTAGCGAAAAACAGACAAAACTCAACAAAGTAACTTCAGAGTTGTAATACAAGTTTGACTGTATTCAAGTCTTGTGGTCTGTAGTCGGTTGTAGTTATTTTTTTCTCAGACGGTATTCTTCACTGTTCTTCTGTTTTCTGCTATAAAAGGAATATGGTTTAAAATGCGAAGAATAATATATTTTAAAGCTTATTTGAAAGTTAAAGTTTTTTTGTTTGGGAGTGATGTAAGAGCCAGTGGTCCAACTACCATTGGGAATGAATGAACCATGAATGAACCAAGTCCACACCCCAGAACAAAAATATAAAATTAAAGATAGTGGATCACAGCCATATACGCCCACCACGGCATGCGGGTGGTAAATTTTCAAGATTTTTGGGCAAGGGCAATAACTCTGCCTCTAACGGGCGAAAATAGCTCAAATTCGAACTTGATCTTCGTTTTATGAATATGTATACACATACTGAATTTCATTTGATTCCATCAAAAAATCTACTTTTTAGAGCGTTTACAAGCAAATGGTACCAAACCGACGGACGGACAGGGGTGTCGACAATATACGTCCACATAGAGAGATGTGGGCGTATAAAAAACGGTACCAAAATTAGCAACTAAAATAGTTCAGAATTTTTGCTGGGGCTCTATTGATATTTTGACAGTTGTTGGTTGGAGTCAGAAAAAAAGACCCTGTTAAATGGAGAATCTCCACACCCCCGAAGATTCGTTTTTTCTAACCAAATATTAAATTACCTTTACAATGCTTGTACATTAGTGTTGGGTATCGTCGTAACTTTCGGCTTTTGGCTGCTTATTTGAAAGCTTGGCTGAAATATTGTAACCTTTTTCGAAATTCGACATATTAAGTCGAGGTAGAATTGCGTTAGTACTTCTGTTTAAATATATCCCAAATCAATCCCCCAAACTGGCGCACCTGGCTCTTTAAGCGTTACCAAGGACCAGAAACGTGCTGGAGAATACACTATATGCATGGCTTCCAGTATAGGACTTAATGGTTGTACCGCATCGAGATGTTCACCAAGGCCTTACCTTCTGGGAATTTCAGGGTGCAAAATATAGATGTAAAAAAATGAGGCAATTTTTCAGGCCATGATAATGACTTCGGAGATGAGCAAAAATGGATCACCCCTCGCCCCCCCCCCCCCATAATATCTAAAGAAACGACAAATTTATATATACAAAATCATGACAGAAGCGCATAAGAAAATATCGCAAATCTTACTTTGGTATAATCTTACAGAGAATCGCCAATACGAGACTCACAAATTTAGAATTACATGTACTAGATTTATTAAGAGCATTTGCTAATTAAAGGGACAGTTGTGCCATTGACAACAATTAGTGGCTTATTATGTCGAAAAAAGGATGGTGTGGGGCTAACCTCATAACATACAAGAAAATTAGTATTTACATATATTCAAGACTCAAATCTACCCCCAAAATGGCACATCTGTCCCTTTAATAAAAACTTACTGATATATTACTTAATATATTTAATAACTATAATAGGACTTAGGCCTGCTGTCAAAATATTACACCTAGTTTTTAATCCTATGCCAATGGAATGAAACTCTATATAGTCATAACAATAAGAAATTCAATATTTTTCAATATATAGGGTATACTTAAATAATTGATTAGGATATAAATTAATCTTAGATATAAGTCTTACAAGCTACTAGAAAACATTGTGGTTTGAGTGGGCAAATAAAGTGCGTATTATTATGTAGTCCGAAACATCTGCCTCTATTCCAGCCTCTAATGGATATTTTGACACTAGCCGACATTTTTCCAAATAGCTATCAGAGGCTGGAATAGAGACATAATTTCAGTCTTATTATTATGTAGATTGTGAGAGGTTGTGAGTAGAGTTGAGGGGGGTCATAAATTACGTCATAATATCAATAAACGTTTTCGAATTCCGTTGTGTCTTCTTGGGCGAGACACATTACTTCCGGTATTTAGCAGTGATTTGTCAAGTGATAAAATATTGCGACCTAAATATAGTCCTTATATTTAGAGACTTTGGGAGTGAATGCTATAGGCCTATTCGGACAATTGTTTATACAATTATACATTTTATTTTCAGTTTGAATACATATCTTACGGATGTTTTCTATTTTTTTACTTTGTTTACAAACATCTGTAGTCCTGGTCGACCAGCCTCTGATATTCGATTACCAGAATCAGGTGATAATATTGACATAGTTCCAAAAAAAATTTATGTCATTCATTACCGTGATATGTTCCAGTGCGCGATGTCGTAACTACCACTAAGATGGGCCTGAAAAGGGTCGTTTGATATGTTCAATATAAAAATTTAGTCCGAGTCAAAAAAAAAATGGGCCGAGTTTGTTACGACACTCTTCGTTTTTCCCGCCATCACCCGAGTCAAGGATTCCTAATACTTTCATTAAACTAATTATTCGATGAGCACTAGTATTACGTCTGTGAATGATAGAAATGTTTATCCAACCATACTCTCAAAGTACCATTAATAGTAACATTCAGTACTAAATGTTATCTTTCTGATCACCGCCAAACAAGAATCCATGACTTAAACGACAACCTCGGTATCAAACCACAATTTCAAGGCAGACTGGTTTGCCCAAAAATTTGAACAGTTAATGGCTCCGAGCACCGAAGGCGCGAGTCTGCGAAAACACTACTTGTCTGCCCGAGGTATTTTCGGTCGCTAACCGAAAAGATAATATTTGGGAACCACTTGCATTCCAGGAGAAAGGCCGGGCGTCCACCTGAGTTTTAATATTTATAGTGCGATTTCCGTTCTCCGAGATTAAGTCGCATGTTCTGCGAGAAACTGATAGACAGTCACAGGCTACTCTCGATAGATCTGTCCAGATTTACTACATGCCATGAAATGTCAGTTATATAGGAGATTTCAAAGTATGATTGTTAAGACAGTGTCAGAAAGCACCAAATCAAATATATGTCTCAAAATCTTCCAAAGAGGGTAAGCGTCTATGGTGCTTCTACAATTCTTCAGCCCCCAAAGTTATCAAGCATTGTGGCAAGATGCTGTGAAACTCCATGAGCAGCTCGTGAATGTTATTTATCGCTCAGGTGGCAGGGCACTCAAAAGTCTCTATTAATAGTTGATTGCACAATCGTAGGATCAACTCTCTGAGAGAACTCGCAATAGAACTTACTCTCAAATGGAAGGGGCACAGTGTTAATCTCTCGTGTAAATCCTGATGTGTAAATCCTGATGACTCGCAAGTGGATGCCCAGCTTATGTCTATAGTTAGTGAAAGGGAGAGGGGGCGGGGGTATTTCAACACAAATTTGAGCCAGGTTGCAGTCTGCAACCAAAATAACACACCTTGAAGCCTCAAATTCTATTTTTATGAATATACAAGAAATAACATATATTTGAGTGAAAATAAAGCAATAATTACAAATTAAAAACAAGCAAACAAAGTTATATAATATGACATAGCTCCAAATAGTATTTTTATACTTAAAAGGACAGATTTGCCATTTGCAGGATTGATTTGGGTCTTGAATATGGCAAAATAGCCTTCAGAAATACTAGATGTGTACAAAAATTGCATAATTTCTTCAAATATACCTCAAACTACAAATTTCACTTTCTATTTCTATGGATGCCTTTTCTATATATGGCAGAATCTCGAGAAAAGATTTTAACTTTCAAACGCGGATAATTCTGGACATACCGGTATGTGGATTTCAAGGCTCAAATTTTGAAAGTGAGCTAAAAAGAAAAATTCCTGTTTCTG